GTTCAAAGGGATGATTGGTAGTAGATATACTTGTTGGAAAAGGATTTCTATGTTGTTTTGATTTGAAACAAATAGAACAAGAATCAACAGATGAATCATGACAACAATCAACAAGAGACATAGATTGGAGTTTTTGAACAGGTAAATGCCCTAATATGTTGTGCCATAACATAACATTGGAATGTTTATGCATTACATTGAAAGAATGAAGATTCAATGTATTTATTACAGAAAAACTATAAGAAAGATTGTTCTGAATGAAATGATGATCAAAGACATAAAGATCTCTAATCCTTTGGCCAAAAGAAGCAAGAGCAAATTTATCATTTACTGAAGGGTTCTGCAACATACAGTGTTCATCAGTAAAAAGAATAAACGTATGAAGTTGGGAGGCAAGTTTGGGTACAGAAACAAGATTGTACTTGAAAGAAGGAACATATTGAAGAATGATAGATGTATCTAACTGAACATTACCAATATAAAAAACAATAGTATTATTCCCATTAGGAAGACCAAGAAAATGTGGCTGTGAAAGTTTTGATAATGAAGAAAAAAGAGATCGATTAGAGCAAATATGGTCAGAATCGACAATCTAAGAAACATGTTCATTTAATAGAGATGATGATTTGTAAACATTAGCAACACAAAGTTTAAAATCAAATGGAATACCTTCATCTTGCATAGCGCCATTAACAATTGAAAGATTTGATTGAGAAGATGAACCAAGACTTGAAAAATAATTATTGTTCAGCAGTTGAATCAATTGATTGTATTGTTCTTGTGAAATAGGTGGAGAATCATTAGAAGCAACATTCTGAACTATAGATTTAACCTCATCTTTCTTGTTCTTCGTAAATTTGAAGTTCGAAGGGAATCCATTAAGGCGATAACATTGGGCCTTTGTGTGCCCTGGTTTCTTGCAATGATTGCAGGTGAGCAATTTGCGAGAGGAATCTGATGAGATTTGCATAGCAATTGCATCATTTGAAAGAGTGGAAGGAAGATTGATTCCTCGTTGACGTTCTTCTTGTAAAATAAAAGAATAAGCAGTTGAAACAGATGGTAAAGGCTTCATCATCAAAATTTGATCACAGATAATTTTGTATGATTCATCGAGTCCCATTAGTAACTGAATTAGGCGTTGATCTTCAAAGAACTTGTGAATTGCAACAGAAGTACCACAAGTACAATTAGGAATGGATTGAATCATACTAATTTCATCCCAAAGTTTTGTGAATTTAGTAAAGTAAGAAGAGAAGTCATCAGCACCTTGAGAAAGAGAATACAACTGTTGTTGCATTTGATAGATGAGAGCACCATCAGATTGTTCAAATCATTGATGTAATTCTTGCCAAATCTCTTTTGCAATTGGGAGAAATAGAAGACTATCAACAATTGTCTTTGAAACAGAATTTAAGATCCAACTGATAACCATGGAATTTGCTCGAAACCAATTAGAATACGTAAAAGAATTCGAGAGAGGTGGAACAATAGTGTCGTCAACAAAACCGAGCTTGTTCTTCACAGACAATGAAATAACCATCGATCGGTTCCAAGAATTGAAACCAACACCGGTGAAGACATTTGAAACAAGAACATAATTCAGATTATCTGAAGATCCAACGAATAAAGGCTAGATACATCGATCGAAGAAGAAAAATGATTCATTTGTTGAAGAAGTAGACATGATTAACAAGAAATTGAAAGAAAACGATGAAGATTGATGAATATAATCGATTACACGTCTGATACCATGTTAGAATGTAATGAAATGATTGATGATGAAAGAGAAGTTTGCAAGAATGAAGTTCTCAGCTTATATGCATACTAGATATAAATAACTACTGTAACAACTTTCTAAATCAAAATTACATATATGCCCTTATGGTTATGACCAACTAATAACGACTGTGTAAAACCAACAGCATCGACGGTGGGTGCCGCTTGGATGTCAGTTGAGAAAAGTCCGCCGGAAAAACTAATTTTTGCCAGAGGCTCGCCGGTGAAGACGACCGGATAGTCGCCAGAGATAAGAAATTGTCGGAAACCTTCAATAGCCGGTTTCATTGGTTTCTGTGAACACCTACAACAAGTTCAATGGTAAATGAGATACAAAAAAAAAAGGAAAGTAACCAAATGAATACAAATGCAATAGTTAATTACCCACATAAGTTATTTTCCCCTAAAATCTATAGCATACCAAAAGTCTTAAACAAAGTGTATTTGCATGTGACATCCATTCTTTATAATCTTTTAACTAAAATAATACTCCATAACATAGTATTTATCATGATGATATAACATCATGTATCAAACATGTTAGAGTGATAATCTTACTTAAATATCACTAAGTTGATATGCTTTATGTATACTATTAGTAGATTGTTATGTACACTGCATCTCCTCCGCTCCAAATTTGGCACTGATGATTTAGAACAAGTAAAAAAAATGCTGAAGTAAAAAGAAGTACCTTACAACTAAACAGAAGTTTACATGCCTCACATGGGCAAATTTCATGGCCACTCTAAAACATGAAAACTAGTCTAAAAAACTGACAGCTGTGGGATTTGAACCCACGCCGTTTCGGACAAGAGCCTAAATCTGGCACCATACAAAATGCAAACTTTTTTTAACCCGACCTAATAGGGGGGAAAGCTGGATGATGGCCCTGGGCCTCATGACAGTTTCGGGGCCCCAAATTTAATTTGGCTGTATGTTTATATATAAATTGTGTTTCAATCACGTATATGCTTTTCTCACTATGAAGGGACCTGAGTTTGATTCCTTTCTCATTAGTCTTTGTATGCACAACAAAAAGTTTTATTCCTATATACTATTCAATTTTATATATTTGTTATCACTCATAGATATCAATTATGTCCAAAATCTCACTTTCCACTATTATTTTTTATATTAACGATGTTTTTTTTTTGTTAAACCTTTTTTGTACTTTAACTGTAACATTATTCCATTATTAATAATATTTGTTAGTAACCAATCTTTCCACAAAAAAATAAAAAATAAATAAAAATAACAACGCTCCCAAACCCTTGGTCACTGTCGGCTTATTTTCCGATCACCGTTGCTAGGGAGTGGCTGTTTGTTCTTGAATTTAATATAGAAGCGAGATGGCGACCTGATGATGAATGGGCTAGGAATTGGGTTTCGAAGGACAAAAACAGGGAACAATCTTCGAACCCAGGGAGCAACCACATGATACTACTCGGAAGAATTACCATGTAAGTCCTAATGTTTCTTCCTTTTATGTTACGAATTTTCACGATTCTATTATTCCGAATGATTTGTGGCGTGCATGTGATTGTCTTGGAAAAGTTGTGGATGTTTTTATTGCTAAAAAGTGGTCTCGAATTGGGTAAAGATTTGGATTTATTAGATTTACAGGTGTTCGTAATGTTGATCATATGGTTAAACAATTGTGTGATGTTTGGTTTTGGTATCACAAGCTCTTTGCTTCTATTTCAAGATTTTTGAAATTGGATACTTCTTTTTCAAAACAACACATGGTTTCTTCTAAAGTTGTGAAGATCAAACCGAGATGTCATTGAGTTCTTAAGCATCAAACAACTTTTGGGTTTAAGTTCTTGAGTTCTTCGTCAAAACACATCATGTGTGTTCACCAAAAAAGTTCATGTTTTGCCATAAAAATTACGTTTGGCCGGTTCAACCTACAATAACCGGTCATAATGATATTTTTTTAAACAAGTTCAATGATAAGACGTGTACAAAAAAAACTATAGTGATTAAGGTGGTGTTTGTTTTTTTTGACAAAAATGTTTTTTTGACCTCTTATGTGTGCGGGCGGAAAAACAGTTAAATAAATTATTGTTGTTTTTAGAAGACAAAAGATATAAAAAAGTCTTTTTGATATCTTTTTCCAAAAGATAAAAAATAGCTTCTTATTTTGAAAGACATTTTCTAAGTTCTAACCCTAATGTGATATTTTTTTACTACTACCACTAATGCCGCCACCGCTCCTACCACTATCGTCGCCTCCATCGCCACCATTGTCGTTGCCGTCACCACCACTGTTGTCATCGCCACTACTGCCACTGTCATCGTTACTACCACCACCACCTTCTCCGCCACCACTACCTCCGTCTCTGCCACCACTCCACCCCACCCTTAGCTCTGCCACCACACCATCACCACCCCCCCACCTCTTCAAAAACAAACACCGTCTAAATGTTTATACATAACATAATTTGTTATCCTTAGAAAATATTAATTTAATGTTTATAAAATATATCGTATTTGTTTTTTGGTATGTTTAACAACTTTTGTTTCCTTAATGTTCTATTTCACTAATTTATTATGTTTAAATTCATTACTTTTTATAAAATAATTTAGGGAAAATGACTTAGGAGGGTAACTACCTCCTATGTGTGTTCACATGTTGGCAACATTTTTTTTATACACATAAAGCCAAGTAACTTGTTTTACGTGTCAATTTACGCCAATATTACCGGCTAACACTTGTATTAACCGGTTGGCTCAAATTAACTCACTTAAAAGAAATTATGTGGCATCTTACGTGTTCATTACACCTTTTTGTCCGAAATCGACTTCATTTAATTAGGGTTCCTCACAGTTACTCCCAAATAGTTCCCGATTAATTACGGTTTCTCAGAAATCAATCGATCAAAGCAGTATGAGCTCATTGTTTGGAATTGAAGCTGGGACTTGAAATCATCCACTGTAACATGTGAGAATCATCTAACAGTACATATCTTACAATAGATGTTCAATATAATGGAATGTTTGCACCAAACCTGTTAGTGTACTTAGACCCTATAAGAATGTCGGTTCGTGATGTGGATTTTGGTGCCATGAACTATAGAGAATTTGTGTTGTGGGTTACAAAGCTGACTAGAGGAAGGTGTGGAAATTTGTAATATTATAGTAGAAATGAAACATTGGCAGAAGGTATTAGAAGAATTGACAATGATGCTGATTACTTTGAGTTTGTTGAAGATGGTTACATGCTTAAGAACGAGCTAAGAAAGAATGTCTACATTGACTACCAAAATGAACCTATTCTTAACTGGGCCGATAAGGAGGTGTTAACAGGTGATGAGGTGTCTGATTTGGTAGAAGATGATGATACAGACTCACACATTTCAGATATAATGGAATGCGAGCACGAATCTGATGAAGAGATGCATACTTTTGACAAAACAATTGATGATGAATTTTTGAACAAGTTGTCAGGTAAACCCATTCCTAATAGTAATGAAGAAGAACCAAATAATGATGATGAAGCTAGTGATGAAGATGATGAGGTTATGTTCCATTTATGTGATGAGAATAAAGGATAAGATAAAATGGTCACAGTTTTAGGTATGAAGTTTTCCAACCCAATGGAATTGAAGTTATGTCTAACCAACTATGCCGTCAAGAATGGGTATGACTTATGGTATGAAAAAAATGATCATCAAAGGTTGTTGGCACATGTTGTAAACATAACAAGAATAAGAATAATAAGAAAAATAAGACTTGTCCCTTTAGGTTGTGGGCAACCTGGATGAAAAATGACAGGTCTTTGTAGATTAAGTCCTTAATTGATAGGCATAATTGCTCAAGAGTATTCAAATGTGGGTTCATTGTAACCTACAAATGGATTGGAACTAATTTCATGAATGAGATATTGTAGAAACCAAAGATGAGTATAAGGAAATTGAAAGCTAAGGTCAGTAAAAGGTTTAACCTGATAGCAAGTGTTAGACAATGCATAAATGCAAGGAAATATGCATTTCAGCAGATAGAAGGTACTTTAATAGAGCATTATTCCAAAACATGGAGCTATGGAGAAGAGCTAAAAAGGACAAATCATGGATCAAGTTAAGATGGAGGTAGATGTGATGCCTGATGGAGATATATACTTCTCAAAGTTTTATGTGTGTTTAAAGGGTTTGAAGGATTGATGGAGGGTTGTAGGGGTAATTAGACTAGATGGTTGTTTCTTAAAGGGCATATGCAGAGGTTAGTTGCTTGCAACAATTCGGAGGGATGCAAACAACCACATATATCATGTTACATGGGCTGCAGTTGCAGTGGAAAATAAAGATGATGGGTTTTAGGCATAACAATAAAGAAACTTAAAACTCTTAAGTGTGCATGCAACCTAAAACAAGATCTATGTTTTCACTATTGAACCTATAACTATGATCATCATAATAAGAACCCTAGATAATTTTCAAAATTACTAAAGTAAAGGTTTAGGGTTACATACCTTTTAGTTGTTATAGTAAACAACTAGAAATCCTCTTGTTGATCTTTTAGAAGCAAGCACCAAAAGCGTCGTGCGTCTAATGGAATCACACCCAAGTTAGCAAGAGAAAAACTATAGAGAGAGGAGAAGAGAGCCAAGATTCCATCCAATGCTTGTAAAGGGAAGGGATAGACGGAATCAAGGGCTAGGGAGGTTTTTATATAGATGAGGAATATTGGGGCTAAAGCTAGGGTTTAAGGGATAAGCCCTAGATTCCCTTGCTTGGTGACCAAGCAGCCCAATCCCTTATCCAAAGGGCGACGAAAATTCTAGGCCTTCCCTAGAAGTTTTCGTCCACCTCATCTAATGAGGTTCTAGAGCCTTCCTTCCTCAACTTTCAATAAATAACCAAACAGTCTTTGTAGTTTTAATTAACCCAATTAATTTCTAATTAGTTGTTAATTAAATAATATGATTTGTAATTAATATATTATTTTCATAATACATTAATAAACCATTTATTTAATTTATTATTCACATAATAAATTAATCTCTCTCTCTCTCTCTCTAAAAGTCGTCTTGTCTAGTTGCTAGGTTTAAGGGCCACCCAAAAGGACTGTGCTACTATCAATTCAAGTATATACCAATTTTAGTTATGGGCTTAGACACCGAATCCAACAGTCTCCTACTTGGATAAGTCTATAACTATAATTGCTAGTATAACTTCTGAATCGATCAGCAAATTGTAGCTTCCAAAAGTCATTGTCAAACTCTGACCCAGTCAGTTACGTCTCCTAAGATAAGTTACCATATAATCCTCCGTTCTACAAGATATCATTCGGACATGAGACATGGAACATAATCAATCTCATTGTCCAATACTTTGTTTCCCGATTTCTGATTTGTAATGACATAGAACTTCTAATCGAACACATCAATTTAGTCCTGGTCGGGCCCGACACTATAAGTCAGCACCAAATCACTGAGGGGCCCAAAGATATCGCTTTGTCCTGTTAAGGCAAAAGGAATGAATAAACTTTGACTTATATGATTGCACCATTTACTCATAAAATCATGCACAACAAAACGTTTTATAACATCAAGTTATTGATGCGTTTACATATCATCAACGCACAACTGACTTATACACCACAACTCATATATCACCGTTTAAAGATTATGGATATTATCGTCTCAGAATTACTCGTGATAAATTCCATGAAGTAATTCTCAGAGCATGGGTTAATCCAATACTTAAATCTCCATTTTTAAGTACTCATGAACATTATAGCAATACCATTGCTATGTCTAAAACTCTTTTTCATGACAGTCTTAATTCACTACTTACTTCCAAAAGTACGAACGACTGTGGAATTTGAATAATCGAATTATTCGGGAAGTAAAACATGCAAAATGAAACACAATAATAAACAATTGACAAAACGTAGTAAACAAACTCATAATAATTCTCTATTATTTAATCACCAAAATTCCGTTACATTTAGTTTTTTACAAGTTTCAAACTAACTTTCTAACTACTAAAACTGATATCATCTCTCAGACCAATGCTCCTAGCATGTTGAATGTGTTTAACCCTACTCAGACCCTTTGTAAGTGGATCCACAAGATTCTCTTCAGATGATACCATCTTCACTACGAGGTGACCTTCTTCTACCATTCGTCTGATGAAATGGTATTTTCTGTCGATATGTCTTAATCTACCATGATCTATTGGTTCATTTGTCAAGGAAACCGCTCCTTCATTATCATAGAAAATTTCCATTGGCTCCTTGATGGGTGGCACAACTCCAAGATCTCCGATGAAGTTTTTCAACCAAATTGTCTCCTTCGATGCTTCGTTTGCCGTTATGTACTATGATTCACAGGTAGAATCAGCTACTCTCTCTTGCTTGGAACTTTTCTAAGTAACTGCTTCTCCATTTAAGGTAAACAACCAGCCAAATTGAGAACAAAAGTTGTGTCTATCTATTTGAAAGTTGGCGTCAATATACCCAGTTACTCTTAATGTATCACTGCCACCAAGTACTAGGACCCAGACCTTAGACCTTCGCAGATAGTTGATAATATTCTTAACTACTATCCAATGAGCTTTACCTGGATTTCCCTAATAACGAATGACCATGCTCGAAGCAAAGGACACATCATGGCGAGTACATTTCATAGCATACATGATAGATCCAACGGATGAAGCGTATGAAATCTGACTCAGTTCTGCTATCTCTACATCAGTACTCAGACTCTGAGTCTTACTCAGTTTGGTGTTACTATGGATATGCAGTTCTCCTTCCTTGGAATTCTCCATACTAAAACATTTTGGTACCTTTTCCAAGTATGTACTTTGACTAAGTCCAATTAGTCTTTTACTCCTGTCTCTCAGAATTCTTATCCCTAGAATATAAGTAGCCTCTCCCAGATCCTTCATAGCGAAACACTTTCCAAGCCAAGACTTAACCTCTTGCAAAATTGGAATGTGATTTCCTATAAGAAGTATGTCATCAACATACAATACAAGGAAGGTTACTATACTCCCACTAGCTTTGACATATACACATGACTCATCTTCACTTTTATAGAAACCAAACTCTTTGACTTTCTCGTCGAAGAAAAGATTCCATCTGTGAGACGCTTGTTTCAATCCATAAATGGATTTCTCAAGCTTAACACTCTATTGGGAAAATTTGCATTAACAAAATCCTCTGGCTGATTCATGTAAACATCCTCACCCACTTCCCATTAAGGAAAGTGGTTTTGACATCCATCTGCCAAAATTCATAGTCATGAAATGCAGGTATGGCAAGCATTATCCTAATAGACTTTATCTTAGCCACTGGTGAGAAGGTCTCATCATAGTCAACCCCTGGGGTTTGAGTAAAGCCCTTCGCAACCAGTCGAGCCTTGAAAGTGTGTACCTTTCCATCCATGTCGATCTTCTTCTTGAAGATCCATTTGCACCCAACTATCTTACGACCTGGTACATTATCAAGCAAATTCCAAACATGGTTGTCATACATGGACTTGATCTCGTTGTCCATTGCCTCTTTCCATTTGGCTGCCACAAGGCCTGCCATTGCTTCCTTGTAGTTAGCAGGTTCATCCAAATTTACCAGTATACTATCACCGATAAATGTATCACCATCTGTAGTAATATGGAAACCATAGAACTCAGGTGGCATTCTAACTCTACTGGAATGCCAAAGAGGTAATGAATCGTCAACTGGTTCAACTGGAATATCTTCCTCTGGTTGAACCCTGGCATCTTCGAAGGTTCCTTCATCGTTTGGTTCTTGAATCTCTTCAAGATCAATGGTACTCCCACTGTCTTCTTTTCATATGAGCTCTCTCTCACAAAAGACTCCTCTTCATGCTACAAATACCATGTTCTCACTATGTCTGTAGAACAAATATTTAAAGGACTTCTGTGGGTAGCCGATGAAAATACATCTCTCACTTCGAGGTTCAAGCTTTTCGTGAGTCTCTCTTCTAACGAAAACTTCATAACCCCAAACCTTGATATGTGCTGAAGTGGGAACCTTCCCTATCCACATCTCATGAGGTGATTTGGCAACCTTCTTAGTTGGGACAACATTAAGAATGTGGGCGGCAGTCTCTAAGGCATACCCTAAAACAAAATTGGAAGAGAAGCTTGACTCATCATGGAACGAACCATGTCTAAGAAGGTTCGATTGCGCCTCTCAGCCACGCCATTAAGTTGTGGTGTCCTAGGAGGTGTCAATTGTGAAACTATTCCACATTCCTTGAGGTAGTCGTGGAACTTGATACTAAAATACTTTCTGCCTCTATCTGATCAGAACGTCTTTATCTTCCTTCCTAATTGATTCTCGATTTCATGTTTAAACTCTTTGAACCTTTCAAAGGTTTATGATTTATGTTTGATTAAGTAGATATAACCATATCTACTATAATCATCAGTAAAAGTCACATAGAATCGATTAGCATCCTTTGTGGATGATCTGAAGAGCCCATACACATCTATGTGTATGAGATCCATAAAACCTTCACCTCTTTCACAAGATCCAGTAAAAGGTGATTTGGTTATCTTACCTAAAACACAAGATTCGCACGTAT